TAGCAAAAGTAAATTATGTTATGACTAAAAAGCCACGAAATAGGTCACCCACAGCTTTTCAGATAGAGCCAGTTTGGCATCTGAATAAAGTTTTCTGGGTGCAGTGTTCCTGTCCTCTGTCCTTGAGAGAATGACAGCGTCTAGAGATGATTCCGCTGCCCTTACTGAGTAAAACTACTTTCATAGGCGGAATTTTTTTAGGCATGGACGGAGCTCACCACAGATGCGCATTAGGTCTCAAATGCTTCTCTAACAGGAAGCGGAGAGAGAAGCTGTCCCAAGGGAGCCTCAGAACCGGAAAAAATATTTTATTGTTTTTATTTTATAGCGAACCGAGGGGGCTGAAAAAGAAAACAGGGACAGGAACACTAAAGCATTAGGAATAAAGATTTGTATTCCTAAAGGCAATAGTGTTGCTTTAAAATTGTTGATGCTCGCTAGTTTCATTGTAACATAGTGGAACCCTATTCATAAAAATGCAGAATTTCTATATTGTTGCCTATAGCAGCATTTCCCAATTGGTGTTCCGCGAACATAATTGGGGTTCTGACAAAAGTTTAAAAATAAAATGGCCGCGGGCGGCGAGGGAGCAGTGAGCAGTGATCTCCCTGCTCAACTCTCTTGTGCGGACAGCAGTGATGCTGGAGCTGGAATATGACATCACTCCAGCTCCGGCATCACTAAAAGGAACGCGAGGGAACTGAGCAGAGAGATCACTGCTCCTTCAGTGCCCGCACACCAGCCGCTCAACAGCCCCCCTGGACACCAGTGACCGCACGCTCATTACGCCAGCCGCTTAGCAGCCCCACTGGACCCCAGGGATTCCATGCAAGCACTCCTAAAGGTAGTGGGGCTAGGTGGATGAAAAATGTAAAAATATACATATGTGTGTGTGTTTGTCAGTGAGAGTGTATGTGTGTCTGCCAAAGAGTATGTGTGTCTGAGTGTGTCAGTGTGTATCTGTGTCAAGGTTTGTGTATGTGTCACTGTGCGTATGTGCCAGTGTGTATCAGTGTGTTTGTATGTGCCTGTGCGTGTATGTGTGTATGGCAGTGTGTGTGTATCTGAGTGTGCCAGTGTGTATCTGTGGTTGCAAGTGTGTGTATATGTCACTGTGTGTTTCTGTGTGTGTTTGTGAGTCAAGATGTGTGTGTATCTGTGTGTCAAGGTTTGTGTATGTGTCAGTGTGTTTGTGTGTGCCAGTGTGCATCTGTGGGTGCAAGTGTGTATGTCACTGTGTGTATCTGAGTGTGTATCTGTGTGTCAATGTGTATCTGTGTGCCACTATGTACCAGTGTGTGTGTATATGTATGTTAGATACATATATACAAACACACACACAGATACACACTGACACAGAGATGCACACACTGGCGCATATAAGCACAGAAACACACACCATGACACACACTGGCACATACAAACACACACACACACACACTTTGAAACATATACACACACCTTGTGTATCTGTGTGCCACTATCTGCCAGTGTGTGTGTATCTGTGTGTCAGATTCATACACACTGGCAAATACAAACACAGATACACAAACCTTGATACACAGACACATACAAACACAGATACACACACACAGACACATACTTTGACACACAGATACACACACATACACACACACACACACACACACTTTGACACACACACAATTTGACACACAGATACACACACACACTTTGACACACAAATACACACACTGTGTGTCAAAGTGTGTGTATCTATGTGAAAGTGTGTGTGTGTTTATATCTGTGTGTCAGATATACACATAGACACACTGGCACATAAGCACAGATATACACACCTTGACATATAAAAAACTGTGCAATTTAAAAAAAATAAAAAATTCCCGGGGGGTCGGGGTTCCACGACATTGATATACTATGTCAAAGGGTTCCACGGGAAAAATTGAGATCCCCTGGCCTATAGTGACAGCATTCTATAGAGCACTGGGTGTGACAGACCGCTGGCACTCCGACTGAGTACCTACGCCAATCGATGCTCCTAGCGCTTGCGGAGGACTCCGAGCACTTCAACCGACACCATCAGAACTGCGGACCCCACTTCCAGCGATGCAGCTGCGCTGAGGTCTCGCCGTCTCTCACCAACCCTGGATCCACAACCTGGATCCAGCTCCCAGTTCGTGAACCTCTCCTAAATCCAGAGAGCGTAGCAGGAACAAATCAAGCTCTTACAAGAGCTTACTCTGGGGAGGAAGTGATTATAGCAATCCCCAGAGTGTAGGTATCCCTTCCTCCAAGCATGAACCAAGGCTTCAAGAAAGGTGCAAGTAGGTCTGGTTTATTGAGCGCTACCTGCCCGGTATTTATGCAAGTGTCCACCAGGTGGACACTCCCCTAGGGGACCTGATGGAACAATGGGACACATATTGGATATTAGCCAATCACAGACAATACAAACAAAACACTCCCACAGTGACATCACAATCCCTCCTCTCTATCCTAGAGATAATTGGGAAGTAATCAAATTATCTCCCCGGACAGAGGCAAGACTCCATTAACCACATGGTTACAAAAAAGACATAAAATTACACAATGTTACAATTACTACATAATACATGCAACATATCCCCAGACAACTTAGATCTGAGCGCACATTATTACCGAATGGTGGTCAGATCACCTACATACAGTTCAATCGCCATGGAGCCAAAGTCTTTTCCATAGTCTTTTGTTACACGAATAGACTCCATGGCATAGCTATCTGGGGTAGCACTACTCACATACTGAAAGTCCCGAACGCCCCAGCAGAAATACACAAATAAACCTTTCTGCAGGGGAAAATACAGCTATCAGCACAGGGGCCATAGTCGGAAGGCAGGAGGCTAGCCAGTAGTCCCCTCCAGGCACAAGTGGCAAAGGGCGCTTTGTCACACTGGGGTCGAGTGCTATGGGGTGGAGTACATCACATGGGTTCTGGAGTTGTTCTTGACTATAACAACATCCATCAGATATTTTATAAACTACTGTATAACTGTTAGTTTATGTGTAAGTCTGCAGTATCTGTATGTGTGCATGTTGGTGTTCATGTGAGTGCAATGTATGCGCATAAATAGATAATGACCCTCTAACTATTTTAAAGTACAGTTAAGTGCAATTCCCCTGATTTTTACTCAGATGGCACTCTACGCACCAAAACAACTTTAGCTTAAGTGATTTGTGTGTATAGATCATGCCCTGTGAGTCTGATTGCTAAATTCTCTGCAATGTAGGAGTTTAATCACCTTTGTTTACACAGCCCTAGCCACACATCCTCTGGCCATGAGTCACACAGCTTCCTCACAATCTTCCTAAAAAGAAGTCTCATTTTTAAACTTCCTTTTTTACACATTGTGTTTCATTTAAACATTCTTATCTCTTGTTTTATTAATTGCATCCAGTGTAATAGCATCCAGTGTGTGAAATGAATAGTATGAAAGTCTGACAATTTTGGAATAAATAGTTTAAAGTAACTTGTGAGGAAAACTTGTTTTAATTGAGTCCCTTGTTACCTGCTACCACTACTCCTATGTTATACTTTGATCATAGATAACTATACTATATTGGATTTGAGTACTTTCTGTTTTCTCCTTCTCCACCGTAATGCATACTGTATTTTGACTGCAGGCTGCCAATCCTACAAGGGGGGACCTTTGCTTTTTTGACCCCAACTTTAGCCATGCTTTCATTACCAAAATGGCAATGCCCTGATTGGACGCAGAATGCAAGTATGGTGAATGCTTCATCACCTGTGTTTGTGGAGCTTTGGCAATCACGTATACGAGAGGTAACTGCTTATTGTTCCTGACAAAAAAATTTTTACATTAAAATGATTAAGTTACACAGCGAAAAGAGCTGTCATCGCTCCTATTGTGAAACACATCAGAAGTAGGAAAAAGGCCATGCAAAGTAAATACATTCTCTGTATATACCAGGTATAGCTAACATGTAGATTTCTAAATGATTAGCTACAGCTCGCATGTGGTCTTTCTAGTTCAAGGGAGCAAAGCCAGAGGAAGATTTAGTTACTCAACAACTGTAATGTTACCTGATGGTTCGCCTTGACCGAAAGGGACAAAACCAATACATTAGTTGCTTTTACTTTACAGCCAGCATTATACGTAATCTCAACAAAATATGGAAGTTTATCAATGTATATATTTACTATGTCTGCCATGTGCGTTATGAATCTAAAATGTGAGGTTGTAGCAGAACTTTTACGGTAAGTTTTCCTTTTCTGCTCTAGGGACCTTGTCTGTAGATTAATTTATCAAATAAATTATGCACCGAGAAAATCATAGTACAAAACAATGTCTTAATTTGTTTAAACCCTTATAGATGTTACACTTGCATAGGCCTATTCACTTCCTTCTAAAGACAAAAGAGGGCATAAAGCTGTTGCTAAAATATAGTAGTGTAACTTGTGCCTGCTATTGAGGGATCCACTTTGTATGGAGTTCAACTCAACAAACAACTCATTTGCCTGCTATTGAGTTTGTCTGCTAGTGAGTGAGCTTGTATGTGTGTGTAATGAGACATGAAAAAAGGTAAAAGCGCACACTTAAACAAGGAGGTTGTTACCTGACGTATTAACTGGTAAAGAATAACTCCTCCTTATATGCAGTATGTAAATACACTGTAGATATTACCTATACAGAAAATAACACAAAAGAAAACATAGTGTAGTCTGTATATAAAACACAGTAAGAAGGAAATTATGAGCTGAAATCACTCACACTTTTCTGAGCCGTTTAAAGTAGGCTCGGGACTTATGTAGCTCTATATGTCACTTTAATGGGACATACGCATTCCTTCACTCTTCAGGCAAATCCTTCAGTGGTCTCAATAGTCATCTGATGAAAGGTTGGAGTCAGGAGCCAGGAGTATCAGGATGTATAAAAACAAATAAAAACAAATAAAAGATAATGCACAACGCGTTTCAACCATCAAGTGGTCTTCCTCAAGTGCTGTTCAAGGCTACAATGAACCTGCTGCTACATATATAGGGCTTCACATAAAATGATATTTGATATTGATAATGATATTTTATGTGAAGCCCTATATATGTAGCAGCAGGTTCACTGTAGCCTTGAACAGCACTTGAGGAAGACCACTTGATGGTTGAAACGCGTTGTGCATTATCTTTTATTTGTTTTTATTTGTTTTTATACAAATAAATGTTTTTTATACATCCTGATACTCCTGGCTCCTGACTCCAACCTTTCATCAGATGACTATTGAGACCACTGAAGGATTTGCCTGAAGAGTGAAGGAATGCGTATGTCCCATTAAAGTGACATATAGAGCTACATAAGTCCCGAGCCTACTTTAAACGGCTCAGAAAAGTGTGAGTGATTTCAGCTCATAATTTCCTTCTTACTGTGTTTTATATACAGACCACACTATGTTTTCTTTTGTGTTATTTTCTGTATAGGTAATATCTACAGTGTATTTACATACTGCATATAAGGAGGAGTTATTCTTTACCAGTTAATACGTCAGGTAACAACCTCCTTGTTTAAGTGTGCGCTTTTACCTTTTTTCATGTCTCATTGTACTCTTTCTAAGTATATATAGTGGTGATATACTTGGGTATAGCGGCACCTTTTATTTACTTTATCCTCTAGCGCCATTTTCTATTATTTTTCTTACTACTTGTATGTGTGTGTGCCTGCTAGTGAGTGAGCATGTGTGTGTGTGTGAGTGTGAGCGTTAGTGAGGGAGCTTCTGTGTGTGTGTGCACCTGCTAGTGAGGGAGCTTCTGTGTGTGTGTGCGTGCATGCTAGTGAGTGAGCTTGTGTGTGTGTGTGTCTGCTAGTAAGTGAGCTTGTGTGTGTGCCTGCTAGTGAGTTAGCTTGTGTGTGTTAGTGAGCTTGTCTGTAGTAAGCATGTGTGTGTCAGTAAGCTTGTCTCTAGTTAGCGGGTGTCAGTGAGCTTGTCTGTAGCAAGTCTGCGTGTTATTGAGCTCTTCTGTAGGGAGCATGTGTGTGTCAGTGGGCTTGTCTGTTGGGAGAGTGTGCGTGTTAGTGAGCTTGTCTCTAGTGAGCATGTCTGTGTGACAGTGAGCTTGTCTGCCATTGATCCTATTTGACATAAAAATGCAAGCTCACTGATTCACACACACAATGAGCTTATGTATATTAATGAGATTGTCTGTGAGTCTGTGTATCAATGAGCTTGTGTCAGTAAGATTGTCTTTGTTTGCATGTGAGTATGTTTTACTGTATAATTTAATTACGTTGAAAGGACTCCTATTTTAAATTAGAAATATAAATATATTAAACACTACATAGCACAATGACTTATGGGTCTGGCATAGATTTTTTTCCAGGGCTGCTTTGTATCCCCAGTCCGGCCCTGGCCATGTGATACCTGCCACTGCTTTCATGGACACCAGAACACCAGATAGTGGCAGCAGTACTATGGGTGTTGAGAGATCAAAGGGGAAAAGTGCATACTTACAGCTCGTCCCCCTCCTTCTGCCATTGAAGACAAAAAAAATTGTATGCCAATACTCCTGCATTAGTGACATTTTATGGCCACTATCCTGTTGTGATAATAATATTCCATATTAATTAAGACTGATTGATCACTATTGAGCAAATTAAACTATTATAGATAGTTAAGATGGCCCGGTACACAGTACTGAAAATGTTAATAACCACAAAATACAGTATCAGAATGACTCATGCATAGCTTCACGAGATAGTTATGAGAACAGAGCGAGCTTTTTAGATAAGAGATACTAACCGCATAGATCTGGCATGGCATTGTTGGTGGGACTGGAAAGCCTGGCCAGCTGCAGGTCCCATCCAACGCTTTTGCAAGGTTTTTGCTGGGCTGCACTGGTAAGAAGATTTGGTGGAAAAGTACAGACTATTCACCCCATTGATTAAGTTTCTCATAAAAGACGAGAAAACTTGGCACTCAATTGGAGTACTACCCACCGGTAATACAGACGCGTATTGCTGGTTCTGCTGATTTCCCAGTAAGAGAGGGTCCCCTTCAAGCCTGACTGCCAGAAGTTCTCTCTTATGGTGATGTATACTTAAGCTGATATCTAGATATTTGAGCTGTTTCTTTAAGCTGTTTTTATATTAAGCTGAATATTAAGCTGTTTCCATAAGATTAATTAAGTCTCTGTTAATCAATGAAGTTTGTATCGATTATTTACAAGTACTTGATGTCAGTGTCTTTTCCTTTCTCAAATACTCAATTCACTCATCCAGAAAAGGGTTTTGGTGCCCACTAATATCTTTAGAAACCTTAGGGTAATTGATTATTGCTTTTTGATATTGGCGCTTCATGAATTTAATGATTAGGCACAACACCTGTTCAGAGGATTTGAAAAAACCAAGCTAATGTCTAATTACAAGTCAATGCCATTGTTTTTTTAGGTCACAATAATGTTATTCATTAAACAAGGAATTGTTGATAATTGACCAGAAAAGTAATAATAGCCAAATTAAGAAATTCTGCCTTTGTTTATTTTTTTTTTGTATTTTTGTGCCTATTTATTTTTTTTCTTTCAGGTACAAGGAGCCATCATGGTAGCTTCCTGTTTTCAAATATTTGTAGGATTTTCTGGACTAATTGGGTTCCTCATGAGGTTTATTGGCCCTTTAACAATTGCTCCAACCATTACCCTTATTGGTTTGCCTCTCTTTGAGTCTGCTGGTCGAGATGCAGGAAGTCACTGGGGCATTTCTGCCATGTAAGTGAAAAAAACAAAGTTCAAAAAATACCCTAAAGGGTAGATATTTGGGCAAGGAAACCCAACAGACCTTAAATGAACTTCTGGTCCTACATTTGCAATCAAGTTGATACTATACACTAACTCTGTGATAACAGTTATCTTTAGATTCACCAAATGGTAAGACATGCCTCTCTGTCAGTTCCCTATTGTCACGAGGAATAACCCCATCACGCAGCGTTTAGGATAACCGTAAGAGACTGAACTGAATTAGACATGTCACAGGTCCTTACAGTGGCTGGATTTAATGTACAATAGAGAGGAAACGTAATCAAATTCAAGCCTAATTCAGGCTCACTCAGACAGCGAAAACAAGAACTAGCCGGAGTCTGGTATACGGTATATCGATAGACAGGTAAACATATCAGAAAAGGGTTACAGAGAAACTTAGGTTCAGGACCAAACCCAAGTTCACCATAAATATCACGAAGTAACAAGGAACGCACTATAGGGTACTTGGAACAGAAATCATGATAGGGCACAGTGAATGGGGGCAAAGGAGTTTAAATACGGTTATGTTTGATTTGATTGGTCCACATCATGTCTGCAACCCCAGAACATGCATGAACAGGGATGACAAGGTAAAGTGGACCAATTAGAGACGGAAATTATGTTACGTTCCCTGTGTCTTTAAGAGTGCGCTCCGAATTTGAGCAGCAATCTCAAAGCTGAGATTCAAGCCTTGTGATCTGTTATTTTGTTCAGTGCGCAAAAAACCCCCTCGGAGATTCCCTATCGGCTCGAGGACCGGGTAATGGACCTTACACATATTTTCTAACTTTTCATACTCCCATACATTTTCTTAATCTTGGTATTCCTCTCCATCTCAGAAATCTGCCCTTCCACATTTTCATATTCCTTCCATTGCATTCATATAAAGGTTTTCCTACTGCCCTCCATTTCTTTACACCTTTCACCTGTAATGACGTGTCCATAGAGCACCTAGGAAAGCACCATTTAATTATTTTCATAACAAAAAAACAAATAAAACTAACTATCTATTGTCAGTTGTAAAGGAGTGATATACTGACAGTAGTTGCACATTTCCATTATAAATGGTAAACATAGACCATAGGTACTACAGTGCTATGATTTCTTCTCCCTATCTTCTATTACAACACAAAATGAATCATTGATGATAGTTAAAACCTCTTAAAATAACATTCATCTTGGTGGTTGTGAGTTTAGTTCTTGCTCAATTTGTATTTTCAGATTTAGGGGATTGTGAGTTTAATCTCTGCCTTTTATGTGTGTGCATGTGTTTTGTTCTGCTCGTTCTTTATTTGCCTCAAGTGTAATGTAACCTAAGTCCCATATATGTCTATTATCCTATATTTAGTGAATAACCTGATTGAAGTTTAATAAGTTTAAATTCTCTTAACTTGTATGAGTCACAAAGGCTATGTACTTTAGAACACCCCAGTGGCCCCCCAAGCCAGTGATCGGGGGTCCAGAGCCCCCAGTATATGGGCTCAAAGTGGAATGCGGCAATGCAGGCATCGTGAGAATTAAATCCTAAAGATTTAATGCAGGGAAACTGTGTCTCACGGCTGTGATGAGGGGCGCCCTATGATAGTTGGGAGGTGGAATTTTACCACTCCAAGATGTATATGTGGGTCAAAGCCTGGGTGTTGTAAGGCGCTGGGTTGCTTCTATGGCCCTTAGGAGTGAGATTCCCCCAGAGACCCCCACAGTGTGCAATTAATTAAGGTGAGACAGCAATACTTTAGGCATTGTTAAGCCATTGAGAGGTACACTTAAGTAGATGTGGCCTCGCGTAGAAATAGCAAACATGGTTAGGCAATACTCCTGTCTGTGGCAAGTGTGTTAGACTTGTGTATGTTTGTCAGAGCGTCCAAGTGAGTGTCTGTTCCGTTGTGATTGTCTTCTCCGCGGGCTTTGCTGCCCCTGCACGGCATTCGAGGAGGTATTGCGGATCTGGCAGCTTTGCTGGAGCGGTGCTTCGTGTCGGGACCCGTCCTCTCGAGTGGGCACTGGGGTAAGTGTGTGAGGACTGCCCACCTGTTTTGCTTCAGCGGTGCGTGTGCCGCTCGATGTGTCTCCGGCTCCTCCGCTCATCCAGGGCCCGTGTTCTGTCGATCTGCGTGGAGTAAGTGCAGGTCTGGGGATTTAAGTTGCTTCTTTTTAGTTGCTTTTCCCTGGTGTCGAGCCAGCCCTACCAGCCATCTTCTTGTGGTGAGTCGAGTGAGGAGGGAGCTTCCCCTCCCCCGCACCCCCCCAGCATGGGTGACACGCCACGCGGTATCCGCCATTTTAGTTGCGGCTCCTGGGTGTTGGTTTGTCCTGGCTGTATTTGGAGCCATGGGGGGT